ATTCATATAGTTTGGTAATTACTGCTTTGTTTTTCTGTGCTCTGTGTTTTCGTTTTAATTTCTCTAGTTGTAGATAATTATCATTAATTCGATCTGGCACACAAATTGACCTTAACTACTCCGTTAATAAATCAACAGGCTGTCCATTTAGGAAATATTAAAAATTCCCGGCTGATGCATTGGATCGCTGTAATACATGTACTACCTAAACAATTACTGAACTTGTATACTTAAAACGTTCTTCTATCACATGTTTGTTCTGTAAACCTAATGTTTCTCTTTATATCAAATTGATCATGCCTGTAAACTGGCGTGAATTCTGTAATTAATATTTTCAGAATATAAATTATTATTATTATTATTAATCCTGCATTGAAACCGAATATTGGTATCTCGGTCATTGTAGTCAGGTTTCCAGAACACTTGAACGACTACTCTATGTAGGACATCATATGAATTTTTTGTCTCACTTTTTGCGTCCCTCGACTATTTCATTTTCATACATTGCCATGTCAAAACAAAAATGTCGTGTTTTACCATGCTCACGTTTGTGTATATTAATATACCAGGGACCTGCAAGCTCGGAACATCCCTCCTTTCTGGTGCTTTCTAGTGGCTTCCGAGTTAGAACAGGAGGAACTATGCTCCTTCTGTCCAAGAAAGGCAAAATCCTCCATGTAATGCAGAGATATCACGCATAAGCCATTAGGACGACGGGATGTGACCTGTTTGAACAGTCTGGAATTATAGAACCTTCAAGAATAATGGAATGGGATGTTCTGTACCAATATAAATAGAGTTTACGGTAACTGAGGGTTATCGATACCAGGAGCTTAAAGGAGGGCCACCAAAGATCCCTTCCTCTTCCTGATATTCGTTAATAACCTTTTAGATCAAATCATTTCAGCGTCACTAATTTATACAGACAATGCGAAGATGCGGAATTTCATGAGAAGCGGAAAGTATTCGCTTGAGCCTCGAAATGGCCTAACTACAATAGAGTGATATGCAGTGAACAAAGGGTTAATACTAAACTGTCTAAATGTCATGAGCATTCGAAACTATGATAAAAATCAACTTGTGTCCTTCCTAAACTGCACTTCAGACTGTTCTGTCATAGAGTAATATGATAATAACAAAGAACATGGATAGCTGCTTGAAATGCAATGAAGGGGGGACCCAACCAAAACAAATACAATCCTTCACTTTACGTAAATACAACTTGGTACAACAACAAGACAATCAGTTCTGTTGTTGCTTAACTAGGATCCTTTGATACACTTCAAAGTCCACATAATTGTTACGCTCCCTCTCTTCAAAAAATACGTAAATCTCATAGGTCAAGTGCAGAGGCAACTAAACAAATAGGCGATGGTGGCAATGAACAAATCTTATGAATAAAGGCTCCGAGGTTTGAGATCATTCTCACTGAGGTGTTGGATATCAAGAGGTTATCTAACTATGGAACACAACATACCAAGCATGCCAAGTCATCTAACAGGAACATCTCACTTGCACATTACCACCAAGTTCTCCGTGGCGAGCCCCGAAAAACTGCTCATGAAAGGAAACAAACTCAAGTACTATGCCTCTTTGTAACATTATGCTTTACTAGGCGAGATGACGACTCCGCATGGTGAAGTGACAATAATGATAATATATTTCTGTCAGGGCAGGTACACGCCATTTTAACAGGCATGATCTACAGATTACAAAATTTGTTTGCTCAAAACATGCTTCCCAAGTAGGGTCGTTAAATAGGTAAAATCAATAAAAGTAAATAATAGTACTTTCGTGCAAATGTCCTAGAACGTTAATGATTAAGCTTATGCTCTAATGTTACACTGAGTACAGTTTTAAAAATATTTTCCGAAGTGGTATCGCATCCATGTTACACATGAGATCCAAATTCGGCTTACATGTATTGAAATTCCGGTCGCACTAAATATTAATGCGATAAAACTTTGTAAGTTTATATCTATTATGAAGTAGATTTGTGAACTATGACCTTGAGAAAACACGTACGTTTTTGTTTGTCACAGACATCAGAAGTTCCATAGCTGTGGCTTCAGAGCAAGATTCTGAAAAAAGAGAGACAAAGGAGCTATGAAGCATTTGGATATGAACGCTAATCAATGTTTATTATTTTGTAGTGGGACAGACAAAGGTGTGGTAAAGTAGTAGATCAAAAGCTCCTTCGGTGAATGGATTTGTGAATAGAATTGACAAACACTATCTTACTCATGGATTGACATCTGCTTGCCCTAGGACCATATGGTTTGATTATATAGCTTTTATCCATGTTTATGCTGAAGCCTTTTTGAATTTGTATACGGCATTCATTGGTCCCAAACTCGAGAACTGCATACAAGTGACTATTTTATGCCTGAAAAGAGGGAGTAGGCTGTTGGAAAAGATTCAATGAACCACAACTATTCTAATTTCCAGAGATCGCAAAGTTTCTGTATGATGATAGACTTGAAGGTGCCACAGGTATTCGTAGTTCGACATCACTTTAATCAGTATTAGCTTCTATAATTAAATCGTGCCCACCCAGTGAGATCAAGAGTCAGAAGCGAGGAGGTTTAAAGATATATTTGATGGGTTATCAATATATATCAAGAAGTGATTGATCTAAACTGGCTAGCGGTTGAAGGAGAACTTTAGCATGGCGTTCCTGCTCGTGTTATGGTGCGAATATGTGACCGAGCGCTTTCATTAATGTCGGTCCATTGAAACTTATGTGGTCAGCATCAAATGTCGAAGACTTACAAAGCTATTTGTTTTGGAGGCTTATTGACCACTACGGATCACAGATGATGTCACTCAGAAGATTCACGAAAACTCCATAACCAAACCACCCAGCTCAGAGAACGAAACTCCATCAAAAATTGCAACGTATCAAAGACGTAGCGTCGACATTGTTTCGGCACGATCGGACAATCCCTACCTGTAGATATGTTGCATAGTAAGGTTTCCTTACCTTTTCCCACCTGTTTAATACAGAGTTTAATGGTTGTTGAAAATAACTCAAGCTGAAGATCAGTGTCTTCTTTGTGAAGTTGGGCGAGTTTAAGGAGTTTGATTTTTCGGAAACTGTTCAAGGAAGTCTTAAGAGACAAGGCATTTGCAACTATATTGTTTGATCCAGACATGTGTTGTATGTCTGAAGTACACTAAAAAATGAAGTCCAGTTGTCGAGACTCTTGACGTGAGTACTTGTCTGAAGATGAACTTAAGGAGAAGGTAGGAGGTTTATGATCAGTGAAAAGAGTGAATTCTCGGCTTTCAATAGTGTTGAAAGTGCCGTACAGCACGTTACATAACTGTGAGTTTGCTACCGAAAATGCTATACCTGAATTCCGTATCTAGAAACCGTTTCGAAAAAACGACAAAGGTTGCCAGGTGTGATTAACTCATTGTTGTAAGACTCCTCCGATTGCTGAGTCGGATGCGTCTACCGCGATACTAACAGATGTTTGAGTGTCATGATGTGCAAGCATTGTTGCTTTAGCTCTCAGGTCCCTAATTGTGGAGAATGTTTTTCTCTCAATATCGTCCAATTCGATAGATCTCACACTTCCACGAAGTTGATCAATTAGCGGTTTCCTAAGTGACGCGCAGTTTGGTATGGACCGTCTGTAGAAAATTACCAGACCGTTAAACGTGCGTAATTGCTTGATTGTCGTCGGTCCCGGGTAATTCGGAATGATCAATACTTTGCTTTTCAGAGGTTGAATGTTTTGAGCATTGGTAGTGTGTCCGAAGAAAATTAGGGAGTCCCATGTTGCACAGCATGTTAACTCTTGAGCAACATGGGCTTCTTAGCAAGTGTTCATGCTTGACTAACTTATGTATTCTGAGAGCGGATTGGACAGAAGCCATAGATAACGGTCTGTCTTTCAACGTGATATTCATAGATTTTAGCAAAGCATTTGACAAGGTTTCGCACTTAGGTCTGATGCAGAAGCTCTCAAGGTTCTGAATAATATGTGCTGTACAGATATGGAAAGGAAGCTTCTTATGTGACCACAGACGGGGAGTGACGGTCAAAAGAATGCTGTCCATATGGAAGCCGGCCAAAAGTGGTGTAATGTAAGGCGCAATCTTAGGCCCTCTACTTTTCCTTTTTTACGTCAATCAATGACCGCTGTTGCTTAAGTCGTCAGCATTACTGTTTGCGGATGATGTCAAAATCTGGAGAACAATAAGAAATTAGATCATTTTGATCTCTAAGCTGAATTAGACGAATTGGCAAGATGAGCTCGTGGTGGGGACCTAGAAGTTAATTTTAGGAAGTGCGTGCTCATACACATTTGATACGATAATAGTTATTATCATACTATTGATGGTAAACCTCTTCCATGCGTTCAAGAACATAAAGACTTAGGAAGCAATAAGAAGTCATGAACTGAAAACAACAACATATTGCAACATAGCTGCTGCTAAAGGTTATCGTGTGTTATGGCCACTTCTTTGAGCTTTCAAATGTTTTGATGAGGAAATGTTTCGAACTTTATAACCCACCTACATAAGACTACACTTAGAGTACTATATCCAAGCAGCTAGTCCATGTCTGGTAAAGGATACTAACTCACTTGCTAGTGTGTGAACAAAACTAGTGAAGGGTTTTCCTAAACTACCTTATGATGAGCGCTTAAAACACCTAAACGTTTTACACTTTGTCGTATAGTAGGACGTGAGGTGACCTCATACTGACATTTCGTACCTTTAATTATGATTTGGGTGTTAATATGTATTATCGTTCTGCTCCCTCCAGCACTAATAATCTCCGAGGTCATAGCAAGAAGGTTCACAAACCGCTATCTAATAAACTTAAAGTGGGGTTCCGTTTCTCTCATCGAGTGGTCAATGACTGGGACGAACATGTGATATCAGCCCCATCAGTGTATATTTTCAAGGGAAAGCTCGGCTTTCACCAGAAAGCAAACTGCTAGGATGAACACAGGTTCACCAACCTACTATCCTTAATACTGAAGACTGAAGACTATTCCAAATTGAAACTGATATCTTGTTGGCGGGTGTTACCAATTATCCGGTACTTCGACTCAAATGTTAGGTTCTAGGCTATTGTTCCTTCCATTTATTTAGAGCTAGAAATCCAGCGTTTCCTTCAGTATTTGTGTGTTATTTCATCAATGTGTAACGTTCATCGTAACTACGGCTAATTATGTCTGTCAGAAGATTTGTGACGTCTACTGATCGTACATATACTCGTATATTGTTCGAAATGAAATTATAATCATAGAAAAATTCTTTAATACGTGTTCTCACCAGTCATATTTAGGTGGTGCATTTGGACCTCCTCAAATATTGTTGATTATATTCTTACATCTGTGCGTTAGCTCGAGCTCTCAATTTCGGGGAAAATTTGAACCATTTTGGGAAAGCCGATTGATTACTGTAATCAGCAGTTAGAGACTTTGAAAGACGTGACTCGAAACCTTTCTCGATGTCACAGTTGCATCCATTCTTTGTCTTCTCTCAAATCTTGAGGTCCTAAATTCCTCATGACATTTCTTTGTATTTTTATTTCACTGATTTATATTTGCTACTTGAATTGTATTTTTGGTGCCTATTATTTTTAATCACCACTGGTATTGTTACTACCTATACTAATCTGGGATTTGGCCTAACGATATCTCTGTGTTAATGGAGTATGGCAACTTGAACCGCAGTACATGCGTACAAGGTTCTATGTTGGAGCTGAAAACACCAAATAAACGAATAGTTTTCCACTTACTGAGCTATGTGGGCTATGGTTAACGAATTCTAAGCTAAACACTCATCCAGGGCCTGTTATCTACTAGTAAGCCTACTCTAAGCTGCACGTTCCACAAAGTGAACCACCCAAAATTCAAGTTAGGTTTCAGGTCCGTAAGCAGCAGGCTAATATAATATTTAGCCGTTTTTTATTCAAGACGTTTTAATAAATCCGAACTATCCCGAACCACAGTATAAATTGTTTCACTTTGACCTGTCCTACAAATGCTGGAATGTCTGTATTGTTTTGGGTGAAATATACTACTTATTCCATTAATTCATATGTGCTTATTGGAAATGATGCTTCTCAAAATCTTTCAAAGTTCTGACTTTAAGGTAAGAACATCAATCGTTTTAAAAGAACTGTAAGTTAAGTGAGACGTTTTGTAAGACTAGATATAAAATCACGGTATGCCTAACTAAAACTTAGTTACAGCGACTCAGTATAAGCTTCATGAGTCACAAAAAGAGGATGATATGAGTATCCTTTAAGCTGGACACCTCATCAGCAAGCTATCAGCTTGCTGTTGTTTTCAGCACTATGATTTTTGGTTGAGAGATAATGATGTATTCGACTTTAGGTTGTGTTACTGTTTGAAATCATTACATCACTGAGTTTAGTCTTTCAAAAATATATATTCAAGTCTTATGCTTATCCACAATTATATTCTTCCTTAAAGATTCGTTGTTGGGTCCAATAGGTTGGTGTTTCCTTACATTTGATTTTCCGGGTTATGTGCCAAAACGAAACAGCAGTGAAATCTTGAGAAAACTCACATTATTCAGTCTCCAGAGATCGCAAAATGACCAATGATTTAACTACAGCTTTTAGTGAAGAAATCGCAAGGTGCTTCGCGTTTGATGGCGTTTTCAAAGATTCGAACGATCAGGTTAAACTTAAGGATAAGTCACAATCGTTTGATTCGTAGGTCTCGTTTTTCTCTAATAATTATTTGAAATTTTGTAGTAGAGAGTTTTTGGGTCCACTACTCAATCACTACACATTTCCACCAGTACATTGGTTTGGGACGTGTTTGTATGGAGTTGTTCTAGAAGCTCTGGATATCAAGGAGCAGGAAGTTAGTTTAACAATATACTAATCTGCAGCATTTAGCAACCAGTTGAATGTTACGATCTAGATATACCCGAAGATGAAGCCATTAGTTATGCATTCGATCACCATTCGTTAGTAACATCTCAGCTGCCTGATTCATACGATGACATCGTCCAAACTGCCGACGAAATCATTAAGGAAATTGATATTCTTATGGTAAATGTAGAGTAAAGTTTCGTAAACTATTTCAGAATGATAATGAAGATATTCCTTTGTCATTGTGCAATATGGTCCAGTCGGAGTATAAACGTCCACTGGTGCTAGAAAATATCGGGAGTGATTGGCTTCCAGAAGAAGGTTTACATTTTTATAATCGATAATATTGTCCATACTTTTTGGTTTTCAAAAATCCTACTTAAAGAGGCACTTTCTAACTTGAGACACCGATAGTTCGTTCAGTTGCTCTCCTCTTGTATTAACTTTCAATGTTAATCTGTTTTTTCTTTTTTATGATCGGAAACTGGAGCTTTGTTTATTTTGATTTATTTCCAATATACCACTAAGCATTCTAAACTGTGATCATTAAAGTATCCATCAGGCAAGTTTAAATATAAGTTTGAGGGTTTGACTTTCAACTAAGTAGAATTGTACGTAGTAATTCGCTCAAACGTATAAGTGAGTTCTGTATTTGCTGTCGGTTAACAGGTTAGTGGTTTTCTCGTCTAACTGACAGGAACAGAAGCACCGGAGTTGATCTTCATCAAAATTGAGTGCTAACTGAATTGCTCATTATGGAATTTTTATTGTCACAAATATCTGATGAGTGTTTGCTGAATATAGAACTGATCAAGCTTCAAATATATATATATATATATATATATATATATATATATATATATTTGATAGGAAATTTGTCGATAAATGAACTAGGAAAAGAACATAAACAAGTAGAGGAAAACAGTTGTGAATTACTGTAATGTTTAAAATTCTGATAAATAGTGAATGCGTCTACGCTGCGTTGTTTATAGTCTCATATATCTGATTTCTAGCCATTCACAAACCCGATCCAATAGATTTTCACCTCATTGTATGTCTCAGAACAAAAGATAAATATCATGAAGTATTGTCATGGGGCTTTCAACATGCTAACCTTTGCTAACATTTGCGTTTGTTGTAAACGATTCTGTAACTTAATGCATTGAAATATTTGTATGGCATCAAATAAAGTGATTAAACTTTTTTTAGTTTGTTATATTATGTACACAGTTTTAACTTCATTTTATTTACTAAGTGTGAATTAATTTTATACCTGAACTTTATGTTGAACATTATTGTTAATAATCATTAGTGTTTTTTCATTGATTAATCGTTTGATAACTGTTTAATCCTCTTAGCTAATGAATTTAATTCGTTGAAATAATGAAAATAGAACATCGTTGTAATTGTTTGTCTAATCATTTTGTTTTATACTGAACTAAAAAACGCTTACCTGGTATTCACTGAAAAATTTCAAATTAACTTTTATTTTATGTGAATTTTTTGAAGCTATGCAAGATCTTTCTCTGAATGAACTCAATGCATTATTAGAAGAACTAGAATCTTGTGTACGAGAATATTCTGCTATCCTTGTTCAAGAGTTAGCGTATAGAGAAGAATTGGATTTTGAACAAGAACAAAAAGATATTTTTATTGCACGCTTGAATGAATTGCACCGCCGTCTGGAGCGTCGGAGACGTTTAAGTATACCACCAGATAGTCATATTCAGTTACTGTCGAATTCTCTGTTGGTAAAAGACTATGATGAAGCGTGCACATTTGGGCGAAACATAGTACTCGACAATATGGGATCGCCATCGAATTCTGTTCATAAAGAAGTCCCACCGTTCATTTTACGTACGCAATGTTCATATTTTCAATATTTTTGCTGTATGATTTGTTTTTTTGTCATATTAATTCACTTCATACCTACCTTCTACTATACAATCATAGTTTTCAACGTATACACTAAGTTTCACTATGTGCACGATATAATTACTTTGTATGTAAATCACAGTAGATTCCTTTTATGATATTTGTGTATATATATTCAAAGGAGTTTAGGTCTATGAAGGTGACTACCTAACATATTAGAAAGTTAATTTATTCGTATTGCTGTAGTGTTTTTCTCAGATACTTCAATTAGAAGATTTCATTGGTCTCAACCACTGGATATTTGGGGCAGATTGTAACATTTATTTACGAAACCTGGATCTAATCACTCAATAATCAGGACAAATAAAATCAATATTTAACCATAGGCCTAATGTGTGTAGTATACGCACTAGTTTGGCGTTTACCAAGTTGAATTTGCGGATACTTTTTAAAAGTTGTGTGATATTAACCTCTAAAATAAACATCACAATGAACTTTTCAAACCAAGTCTTCTATCACTGGTATTACTTTACAGTAGGACTATTTACTTTTGCTTCTTATACTCATTTAATAATGATTTAAATTGTTTGATCATTAGTTGAATAAGGATGTGTCAATATTTAAAAATTAAAATCCATTTCTCTTGTAGGAATCTTATTGTTGATAAAGAGTAAGTTACAGTAGCATATTTTCGTTTCGCTCAATAGTTGGGATTTTTAAACATTTAGGTTAGTAATTTTGATGTGTGTCTATTTCTTCACTACGAATTATTTTTTTTACTATCAGGTGCACAGTCAGCAGCTCAAGCAGCGGTTGCTGCAACATCATCTGCAACAGTTGCGATAAAAAGGCATTTTCGAAAGCTGAGTACATTTTCAAAGGATACTTCAGGAACAATAAATCACCAGTCAGATCAATGTAATCTTGTTCACACAGCATCCATTTCTCCAAATAATAAATGTGACGTAAACAACTTGTCAGAAAAAGATGATCATACAATTCACTGTCCAACAATTATGTCTGCTCGAGCTATTGCCATTGCTCGTCTTCGAAAATGGGCCGGAAGAAAATCAGAAGGACCTTCGAAAACTGAGAACACCGGGACTTTCAGGGCTTTCCTTCGCCGTGGGCGTCATCAAGCAGAAGTCCCAATGAACTCGTTTGTCCGTAGTCGAGAAGCTCGTTCAGCAGTAACTAGTCCTACATCATCTCAATTCGAATTCCCTTCAATACCTACCACTTTAACACACTCGGCTTCTGGTCATTTGATTGGACGATCTGAACTAAGTTCGGATGATCTTGAATATAAGGTAGTCAATATCCTTTCAATATTTCTATTTTAATATTTTTAGATGTTCATGTTTAAGCTTATTGACCATGGCAAAAACGTATTGTTTTCAGTTACTCAGTATAGTCGATAAAATAACTCATTTTTTTAGTCTGAATGTACTATGTATACATAAAGGAAGCATCCCTCTACACTAATTGCTATCGTAGTGAACGAAAACTCTTATACGGTAAACCAATTGATTTTCTTATGCAAAATCACATTGCCTTTGCAAAATATGAAAATCATACATGAAATACATCATTTGCACATCTTTGAGTTGTCCTTTGCACACTCCATCATTTTTCCAATCCTGGTGGTGTTCCGACTGCTTTCCGTTTTCCTTTCTCCTCTCTTTATTTCAATCTTCTGCTGGTATGCATTCCACTTCCAATTCCTGCTACATACTACTTATGTTTGTTTGCATAAGTAGCACACACACAGTATTGCTAACAACCTACAAAATACTCACATTATTTGGAATCATCAGGTCAGACCTTGGTAATATTACTTATACTAACTGTTTTAGTGTCTATACACAGTTCATTTATAAATATATATGATAGTCCACTTATTCAAACTTTTTGATGATGAGTTTCTATGTTTGTCACATACGTTTTGCATTCATTTTTAAAAAAACTTGCCTTATATGCTACTTCAATGTGAAACTCATATCGTAATGAAGTGAATAAAATAATTTTTCTTGTGGTCAAAGGTTCTGCATGTGGCTCCTTAATAAAACCGCCTGTTTCGGTTTTGGAACTCGAGCAGTGTCACAGCCTTCACACAAATCGGATGACGAAGTGTGGCGCATGTGTATTTGGTACCTCCTTATATCAATGTTTATGTTTAATCTCGCGAGCGGGATCGTGGATGCGCACTGATAAGGAGTCCCGCGATATGAAAAAACGGCATCCAGTGCCTCCATGTTTTAATGATGGTCTAAAATCAATCGGTTCATGATCTCAATAAAAAAATCAACAAGTTAGTGTAACAACGTCAGGAGATGCAGTCCTATGGTAGCCGGTGACCAAAAATTGATTCATACGCCATTTGTTCCCTCAGGATCCTGGAACTCATGTGCACCATTGGTTTGGAATCAGGGTTTTCCAACTCCCCCAGGTGGACTCTCGGTGTCCATCAACTCGGTTAAACCGCCGGACATTTGCTTTTCCTTCTCTCAATTTCTTAATCAACACCCCCACCATGAGAATGCAGTGAGTAGGTCTTTCCTGACAGTGGTTGTATGCACGTGGCCATGTGAGAGCATTTCGGGAGGGGGAGCAGACTCTCCAAACCCTCGATCGTACCAGGGCATTTAGTGGCAGTAGCAAACATAGCAATATAACCATGGACCTTTTGGTCACATTTTTGTTTTTAATGTCATGACATGTTTAGATGATAATATGAAAGTGAGATATTTTAGGTTCAATATCAGTGCCAAGGTTTAAGTTGTTTCTAGGTTCGTCTTAAAATGAAAATTAGAACAGTGAGTGACAATTTTTACTTGTATATTTGAGATTAGTAAATGTGGTCTTCTGTGGTTAGTTTTGTTCAATACATTCCTGTAACGCTGTAAAAAATCAATTTCCTCATTATAAATATACTGTGCTATCTTTGAAGGTAGGATTTTGAAAAACTATTCAAGAGAATACAAAACATGTAATAATAATGGAGAAGCAGTTCAATTAGGAAAAATACAACTAGAAACAATTCTTTCAGGTAAAGAATTTACTCTCACTTTTATGAAGAAAGTAAATGAAAGTTACAACAGGTTGGCCACTGTCTTCTATTCTGAGCCATGTTTGATAACGTCTCTAGCCACTGTGTCCCTCCATCTCTAGGATCCCAACCAGGAAGTCATGAAAGACCAACAAAAGCCAGACCTTAATTTTTTTTACCATGGCACTACGTTATACACTGACCATGTCTCCGCTTTTTTCAACCAGTCTCAGCGTCTCCAAATAATGCACGATATGGAATTCTGAGGGACGACATTCCTAGTACATGTCCGAGCCACCGAATTCGATGTTTCAAGATAGTGACACCAATTGAATTATCGTCGCTGTGCGTGAACACACGATGCCGAACTTCTGCATTACTAACATGATGTTGCCACTGGATGTCAGCAATCCATTGGGTACAATGATGGTCAGATACAGAGTCGTCTAACATCATCAACTCAGAGAAGCCATTATTTACGAGCATAAAGCAAAACTGCTCTCACTGACGCGTTGTAGATCCCACCTTCTACAGCCAGTCTAACATCATGAAGGCGCTAAAAAAGGCCTAAATTGGCATAAGCCACTCTGGTTTTCATTTTACGTGAATCGGTATTGTCGTTGATGCCACCGCCAGCACTTATGCTGCCACCCAGATACGCAAACTTCTCGATTGCTTCAAACTGCTCATTACCAAGAGTATGTACATGTTCAGGGTCTTTCCAGTCTTGTAGAAGTGCTTTGCACTTAGAAGGTGCAAATCGGATGCCTTACCTACGGACACTGATTGTCAATTGACTCAATACCGATTGCATGCCTCAAGTATCATTAGACATCAAGACAATTTCCTCTTCATACTCAAGGTTAAAAGGTTTTTCTCCAGGCAATAGATCTACACAAGTATTACCTACATTCACCAGGGCTGTTTCCAGAATATCATCTATGAGAAATTTGAAGAATAATAATGAGATTGTACAACCTTACCTAACCCCACTGTTTAAATTAAGCAATTGAGAGAGGTGGTTAAATACCCTCACTCTGTCTGAGATATTTGTATATAGGGCTTTTAAGATGTTAATAAATTTCTCAGATACACCCTTCTTCAATAGATAATCCCAGAGAACAGTCCTGTCCAACGAATCAAAGATGACCTCAGTGTAAAAATGCACTACGATTGTTGACCTGCAATTGGTATTTCAGTGTTCTGACATTTGGCCGATGTTGAAGACATTATCAATACATCCTCAACCAGAACGAAAATCAGCTTGCTCCTCGCGAGTCAATCTTTCTTGAGTTTTGAACAATCTACGAAGTATAACGGAAGCCAATAGTCTGGATGCAATCGGAAGTAAACTTATCCCCTAATAGTTTTTCAAGAAATGACGAACCCTTTTAAAGATATGGACCATTATCGACTCATTCCACGATGTTGGATCACTCTGTAATTACCAGACGTTTGTAAACGACATGGTTAGTTCCTAAACCAGAAGGCCGCCACCATTTTTAAAATGGAACCAGGGGTATGTCATCTGGGCCTGGTGATTTGTGGTAGCTTAAGAGTTAGAGTTCCTTGCGGACTTCTTTCTTGTTAGTTGTATTAGTCGTCACCGGCCATGAGGGACACGACTGTTTAATCGATGTCACCGGATCAGCAGACCAGTTAACTTGTTTGCCGAAAAGCTGTCCATCATCCAAGACGCGGGTAGATATTGTTGATTGGCATGCCATAAGCTTCACAGATTATTCTACTTACACCAGAATTCTTGCTACCAGTGGCTCGGATGGGTTGGAAGAGCTTTCGGCTATTACTAGATTCAGCCACTTTCCAATTGGCTAATATGCTACAACCAACAGTCTTCTCAGTCCTTACGCAAACTTTGCACAACTTAATTACGTTACAATCTTCGTCTATTATCACTCTTGCTGTTACCCAGGGTAGACGAGCGTGCTTCGACGAGTTGTAGGGAGCCTGTAGAGAAGCCTAGCGCTTATGTGTAGAACATTTCACGAGGTTGCAAGTGACTTTACTCGCTATTTTTATGGCGTCATGCAATCGCAACCGATGCTCATCTGCACTTTTCGGTGGGTTGATAACCAGTTCAGAACCTAGCTCTATTTGATATTTGGTTGCAATAGAAGTTGCAACGATTTTACTGACATCGATGCGTTTATGTCGATAAACTTGTAGGTTACTGGAACGTAAGATTAGCACAAACAAGGGAATGATCAGAGTTCAGATAAGTACTCTGGAAGTAGTGGGAGTCTTGTATATAACCACGCCATCGGTAGCTGATTGCGATGTGATGAATCTGTGTCCTGAGATGCAGAGGTAGGACACTAGGTCTGACATAGAGGATGATTTTGCCGATAGTTAGTGCTAGCCAGTAACATGTTGCAGTCTGGGACAATTCGCAGTAGACTGTCATTGTTATTTGACCTGTGACCAACAAGTGCCCATTGATCACCTGTGCATTCCAATCTCCGGCTAGTACTACATTTTCTTAACTAGTAGTGCATGTAGGGCGAGGCCGAACACAGTAGTATATCTCAACTTAGTTAAATATTCCTACATTTAAAACATGATTAAAAAATGTTTGTTTTAGTAGCTGTGTTCAAATTTACCTAAGTTTTTAATTTCTAAATCCCATCGTTTGTAAATTCTTGGTTATAGCTTAATAAGCAGCTAATCTGGAAATAAAGTTTCGGATCAATTTTTGCAAATTGATCATACCCACTTATCGTTTGTTAAAATAAGCAAATCAGCCGGAGTTTCATGCTAATTAGTCCTTAGTTTTTTCTTGAAAAGCATTTTATTTAAACATCTTTTAGTGATGTTTCTCTCCGACAACGATTATTAGGAGTTTTGGAACCATGTGTTTAAATATTCGTAGTCACTCAAAAGCCTCTAAAGGATTACAATTCCTTTAAGAGATATTGGGTTATGCAAATCACTCATCATTAAACACCATGTATTCTTATAGTAGGATTAGTGTTCGCAGGAATGTTTGATAGATATGAAGTTTTGAAACTTAGAAACCCATACTGTTTGTATGTTCACCATTTACTCTCAATTGATTCATTTATCCAGTGTGTTTTCGAGTCCTTTTGTGATCATATTATTGTGATTGTTCTGGTTGAGTGATATTTATTCCCAGGAATCGTTCGTTGAATACAAGTATTAATTTTTGTTTTTCCTGGTATTTTGCCATTAGTATTTGACCACTTCGGTTCCGTACCACCGATCTCCCAGGAACGAAGGACCTACCGTTACCCAGTTGGAGCTGTTCAACGATATGCTTTTGGCCATTTTAACGAACAATCCAAATCTGACACCTATGCTCACCGATTATATTCTTAATGGTAAGTTATATTTCTTACCTACCTTACGATGATTCATTTATACTTGCCTTATTTTTGACCTTTGTAAAATATTATAATTATGAACTTATAACTGTAGAGCCTGATGATGAAGTTATTGAAAACAATTGTTCGCTCAAATATTCTTCATTTTTGAATAATCAAAAATTATTTATTATTTTACCTAATCCTTAAGCGTTTTGCATTGTTTCTTATGATCATATATAAGTGGGACTATTATTCACTTTCAATCCAAGAGATTAGACGGATGGGCAGTACACTTTAGGGTACAGTTCAACTGGTCTTCAGCCCACTATCTCCAAACAATTTGAATGGCAAACTGATGTGTGTCCTCCAACGCCCAGTGAGTTCGAAAAGGCTTTGAGGGATCCAAAGTGAGGGAGAGGAGCAGAGCCTCGTGGACTAACTTCTGATATTTTTAAGGATGGTGGCCCACTTTTAGCGGTCAGATTAACTGACATCTCACATAAAATCTAGGAACTGGACGTCGTCCCATTTGGCTGGTTTTGATCGCTGGTCGTTCTAGCTTATAAGAAAGGACAAAAATCCTCTTGTGGGAAGCACAGGGGAATGCTTTCCGACGTCCTACTAGAGTTGTATTCCTTAACCTTAAGGTGGCGTTCGACTCCGTCGATTGCGAGGTTCTGTAGCAGCTGCTCTCAATGAAAGGAGTACCAAATAGGTACATTAACCTTCTACAGACTCAGCTCGATTATTGGTCGAATCAGAGTTTATGGCGAAAATTAATCGGAATTTGTTACTTCAAGTGGTGTTCGTCACGGTTGTCAACTTTCCCCAATTTTATTTAAATTCGCTTTTAGTAATTACACTTTCATTGTCTGACTTTTCACAGGTTGATCTTCTACCAGGAGATCCACTTGTTGAATTAGAGCACACTGATGTTATAGTTCTGTTTGGTGAAATCTCTGACAAATTGCAGAGTTCTCTAACCATCTTAGGCAATAATGCAAGCATGTTTGGAATGCTGTTTTCTTTCTCCAAATGCGAAATTTTACTTTGCGGTAGATTGTGTCATCAACTCAATTGATAATAGGAAGGTGGATAGGCGGACGTATCGACCAGTTCCCTTATCTTCGGAGTCTCATCAATACTGATAGTCTGGTGTCTGATAAAATCTCGACACGGATTCAGAAGGCACGATTGGTTTTCGCCAACTTGCATCACTTGTGGTGTAAGCGAGATATTCTTCTTTCAAACAAAGGACGAGTTTACTGTGCAGCGTTTCGCTCCTTCTAACTTTTCGGATGTAAAACATAGTCATTAAGAATAGAAAATGTTCGTAGGTTACTGGTGTACCATTATAGGTGTCTACTAATCGTTACTCGTGTATTTTGAGACCATGAAATAAGCGATGCTTGGGTTAGTAATATAGTGTTAGGTAAAGATGGACAATTGGTTAGAGATAGTGAATCTTCATCAACTGAGGTGGTTGGAACATGTGTTACGTATGCCCGACCATTCCTTACCCCGACGGGCAATGTTTTTGGTGCAGGAGCAGGTTGGAAGAAAGCTAGGGGCGGACAAACCAGAACATGCCATCAATCCATGAAGTCACTGATAATTCCACTAAGCCATGTTAATAGATGCAGATTATCTGGTTGAGGTTAGTGTGATTATCGTAACTAATGGTTAGAGACTTTAAATTAAATGGCTCAAAACCATTCTAAATGTCTCAGTTGCATCCATTCTTTGTCTTCCCTCAAATCTTGAGATTCTAAATTCCTCATGACATTTCTTTGTATTTTTTATTTCACTAATTTATATTTGCTACTTGAATTGTATTTTTGGTGTCTATTATTTTTAATCACCACTGGTATTGTTACTACCTATACTAATCTGGGATTTGGCCTAACGATATCTCTGTGTTAATGGAGTATGGCAACTTGAACTGGAGTACATATGTAAAGGTTCTACATTGTGACTGACTGACTTTGGTTAGTCGTAAGTTATGTAATTTTTGGGATCAGATTGCTTAAATCAAATATATCCCCATTACATTAGTTCCTGTTAATGATAGAAAAGACCGTTTTGTAGCAACCAGGAAATCGGTTTCAATGGAGTTTATAACCATTCGATGCAAAATAAATATAATGAAATAGAATAAATCATGTGCTGTGTGCTTGAGACCCTAGTCGGTATTACCCACGATTGATTATAGATAACTCGTGTTTACTTTTTTTTTAACATAATTTAATCGATAAATACTTATCTTCTTACCTATCTTCTGACTACTAGTGAACGTTGGATTCAAACGATTGTTTTTTTTTATGGAATTGTATATCACCAAATTCATTTTCTAACATTTGTACTAAAACCAGTTATCAAATAATGTTTAAACTGAGTAATATTGTGTTTAGTTATAACATTAAGCAAAATAGTACAAACATATTCAGTGAGACTATAGTTTATGAACGACCTTTGAGCGACGCCAAAGTGACCTTTAGAGTGTCTACCTACTTATTAGGACTAAATGAGGGTTATAAGCAGTTTGAAGAATAAGGGTTATGGTTCACGGCTGATGGTTGGGGTTAGGAATAAATTTACGGTTTTTCATGACGAACCGACAGCTAAAATGCCAATACCCTGTTCGGCCAAATGGCTGTGTGAATTTCTTTCCAAATCTAAGACCTGTTATCCTAAATCTGATTGGTTCATCCATAAATTTACAGTCTTGTTACATATTTCATCCAGATTTAAGGTGTATGCATGACTTAAAATCGTTAACAATGGTTTTAGCGCATTCACTACTTGTTTTCCCCTAGAACATGCGTCCCGGAATTTCTGTATGCTTTTGTTCCCTTTTCTATACCTAATTCTCTGTCTCAATACTACTACCGATACTATTATTACTTCTACTACTATGAGATTTGTCTTGAAATAACTTTATCTCTCTGTGCTAATGTGGTATGGCAACTTTAACTGATGCACATGTCAGGTTTGGCCAATTTTATGAATTATTAATTTGGATTTATGAATTGTAGAATCTGATGAGAAATTCATTCAAAAGAATATTCTTCGTTCATATAATTTTGTTTTTAAAAATTATTCACTAAGCAAATGACTAATTTTCTAACATTAAAACCTTTATAATTATTTTTCTTTCTTTTAAAAATCATTTAGTTTACGCTCCAGCTGATCGACGCTTATCTAAACTTCCAATTTAAACAACAATGAAATTTATTAATTCTACAATTTTAATTAAACATCAACAATAAAATCAGTCATTATTAGATCATATGCTTTATATTTTTAATTAATCTGTTCCGTTCTCTTTTAAATGCACATATAGCTTTGAAAATTATTTGAATGTTTAGTTTGATTTTTTCCAATTTCCTTTTCTTTTTTTCTTCTTTCTTTTATTTTACTTCTTGTGTATACTTGGATTAGGATCTTTATTTTTTGTTGTTGTTGCGATCTTATCATTTCGCATTAAAATTAATGTTCTAACTTTTGAAAATTAATGCTTTATAATACTTAAAGAGAAAATTTAATCGATTTGTTATTTCCGAACTTTATTTAGACTTTTTTTCAATAAATAATAATTTAGAACCAATACTTATCATCATAATGCTTTGCTCTAATCAATTATTTTAAACAAGTTATGTAACATTTTTGTCATTTACATTTAATAAGTCACAATAACTAGTTATATTATACAATATTTATTTAATAACTAAACAAACTATTTTATTTTAAAGCTATTACATTTTACCTCTTATTTCTTTTGATCGTTATGCATACAAATAACATCTAAATGATAAGATCAATTCATTATTGATATACATACATAAATTAGTGCCAGAATCATTAAATGTGATGACAATCTCGTCATGGTTATTGTGTTTTAATACTGATTATTATTTTTGTCTAAAATTTAAAAAAAACAAATGATATCTTCTTATTGAACTATTTTTGTTCAGTATATTATTGTTAGGTTAATCATTTTTGGCATTTCTATCGTTGCTTGAATCTCTTAATTACTGTTTATTTTTAGTTTTCTTTTTCTTGTCAGTACTACTTATTTTTGTTTCTTTTATTTTTGTTACTGTTCATTCATATATTAATATTATCTGCCTATTCACACCAGAGATTTTGATTTTGAGTCGAATTTTTTTTAGTTTATTAGCTTGGCTCTTTGTCTTCTTCATTATTATTTGCATTTAAATTTTGGCGATTTAATTGATTGTTCATTTTGAAATTGTTGCGAAATTATGTTATTTAAATCAAAACATACAATAATAACAATTGTTGTCGAGAATGTTTTCTTTTTAAACTTAAAATTCTTCGAGTTAAAAATAATTAACCACAGCCTCATACAGTAGTAATCATGATGATAATAATCCCTTTATTCAGTGCTATATAGTTAATTACGGTGAACAATTCTCAGCACAATATTGTAACAGAATTCCTGTATTAAAAACATTTAACTTGTACATATTATATATAATGGTAATTAGCTATTATTTATATTCATTTGTAAATGTTTACCCTCGATCTTGCTCCCACAATATCTTTGTTGATCACCGAATACATGTGTGATGTATGAATTTTACGGCAGTCATCTCTTGTTTCTCCAGAAGAGAAGGCAAACATAAGAACCATCGTGATGGTGCTTCTTGAGTTTCTTAGTAATTTGACTCGTGATTGGTTACAAACACCTGATGGAATTGATTGGATATAGGTCGTTAACGGATACAATTAGTGAATTGGAAGAAATCTGAAGCAGTAAAGTTTATAGAAAACATTGCGTGTTTGGGAAAAGCGTTACCCTGAATTTGTAGCAGCCCACTGTGTTGATGTTTAAATTGTCAACATCATCAAACTCGTCTTTGTATCTTAACACAATCAAAACACTACATAGTTTTCTACCTATCCTAAATCCATTTAGGAGACTTAAAAAAACAAGACTTGTGATCATCCGCATCTTCATTATTTTCATTCGTGAAACGAGTGGGATGTAACACTACAATGTTCAACAGTTTATAAATCTCAATAAATACCATGGTTTATGAATCAAAACTGAATAAGATATTTGGAAATATTTGAATGGTATTTCAAGACTGAAATATATGGTCACTAATTAGTCAGAATAATACTCCAACTTTATTCTAAGTAAAAAAAATTCATAAAACGATTTTAATACGCACTGTCCAAAATCAATGAATTAGTTATATACAGAATAACTGTTCAAATCAGATTTCTTAAGCCCTTTACAAATATCCAAACTTAAAAGGTATGAAAATGCTTTCTGATAATTCCCATGAAGCTTAGTGCAATAGAATAAGGATTTATCTCTTCATTTATGTCTAGGACAATCGATGAAAATGGTAAATGTTGGAATCTGTTTCTTACTCTGCATTTGTTATTAAACATTATTTCGTTTTTCAGATGGTTGAATTCTCTAATTATAGAAAAACTGTTTTGAGTCTTAGCAGCGATTCATCTATATTTTGATTATTGGTCAGTTTAATACCTTTTAGTTTAAAGCCTTTAATATAGGGATTTAACAAACCAATATCTAATTTGGCTAAAATTCTACATAAAAAATATAGAACTGTATGTGTGAGTATTGTTTATTCCTTTCAAAAGTTTACTACTATCAGCGGACTAATGAGACACATAGATTTTCTACTTTATCTTAAAACTATTTCAATTAAAATAATTGATAATAATTTAGCTGTATTGTTTATTGGTAAAATGCCTTCAGATCATTCGATGTAGATAAACTTGACTTTTCTCTATTGTTAAGAATTATCTTTACTAATATTTTGAAACATGCAAATAATCAAGCGTAAATAACACAGACAAAGAATATTTTGCTTTTAGGAGAATTCTCTTTGACTTCAAAAAAGTTATTAGTTAAAGTTAAGCATGAGAATAAAAAGCTGAATTTAAGGCAAATATCTAAAATGTGGTACATGTGTTTGGAATTTTAAGTGTTGCTTTGTAGATAATAGATGACTGGTATATAATGTACAACTGGATATAACTCTGCTTTTAAAAATATACATGCTCGATAATTAGAACGAAAATGAGCACCGTGATGTGAAGTCAAATGCTTAATCAACGATTAGGTATCATTCGAAATGAAATGGTGCGATGAGGTGAGCGTTGAAATGATTTTAACCGTATGGAGACTAAAGTGAATATATCAGGTCGATTGAAATTGCTATGATATAGAAGAGTTGGAGATCTACACTGAAATAAGAAGTGAAGCTAAAGTTACCAATGTATCTAGGCTATTTGTTCAGACAGGAGTGGAGGTGGGATATTGTAAGAGTATTACTCATTTAACCAGACAATACCTGCATGTCGTTATCCGGGTCAGTCAACCCAATCTGGAATGCGCATGGATTGTAAGCCATACTGTTTAGTTGATGGCAATAAAGCATTCTGTCTTATAGTAGGCCCATTAAATTTTTTATTACTTTCTGTATTTAGACAATTAGTCCACGATTAAAGTGTTAGATTGAAAGCGTGTTTGCACCTCATTCTGTATCTATCCCCCCATTGGTTATAAATTCACATCAACAACTTACCCACAATGGATCAACACATATTTCAACTCTTTACTCACACACTCACTAATTCATTGCTCAGTGTACTTGCATCTCTCGTGCTTGTGGATTGTATTAACTACTGACAATGTGCTATCCTAATAACTGGTATCATGACTTTTAAATATTATCGAATAGGTTCATAGTACTCCTATGAGAATCGACCTACCAAAATACTCAGTTAACATGACATAATATGTTGAAGTCAAATGAAGAAGAATGAACTTCGACAATCTGATTCGGTTACATATTAGAAGCAGGCACATTAATTTAATGGAATAACATTACAACATGAACATAAGGAGTATTGGACCACTTAATAAACTGAATACTGATTAGGCCTGACGACGAGCAAGTTCTAAAATAGGACTAAGCACACTTTTGAACGTAGTTCTCCGGGATTTCAAGCTTCATGTTGGTAAAATTATACTTTAAAGACGAAACAACCAGATTCAAAATGTTGATTCCTTGTACGAAATTCAAAACACACCTGGCTAATCACTAAGCGAAACTTTCGTTAATTTAGTTCTTAATATTCCTGCGATTAATAAACATATTTATTGTTCAGTCATACAGTGTAAATGACAAGATAAGGAATCTAGTTTACAAAAATCGCCTGTTGTTCATGGAAATTTTATTTGAAAATGAAATCAAATGTTGAGAGTACTATTTAGTTTAACCGTAAGGACGAAAACTTTCGACCAATCAGGAAGCAGTTGTATGTGCTGATATGATGAGAAAAGTCAAAATTCGAATTGATTTACTCATTATGAGTTTTGTTCAGCATTACTTCTGTTTTGATTCAATGTAATGATTACTCAATGTAGTATTTGTATATGTACAATCAATGTATAAATGAGTGTATTTTCGACTAGAGTTGTTGTCGTGATTTGGGGGTTAATAAATTTTCACTTATACCAGTCTTTGTGTTCTTACTTTCGCGTCGTGGGAATTGCAGAGGTCCCTTGTTTTGAGTACAAATGATAAGCGTTTTCGACACAACAATCAGCGATGACTAGATATGACAAGTAGCGTTCAATCCACAAGACTTATCATATGTATCAATAACAGCATGAAGGGAATTATTATGTGATGATTTTACATGATAAATATATTTTTTCAATCTGTCTACTCGCTGTCCTGTCCCGAATTCCGAAGACATTCTATGAACAGACCAAACTTTATGGCTCCCAAGCATCTTATGCGAGCCTTTTTAGTGTAAATAATTTATTAGACGATTTCATATAGCTCCCACGTTTTAGACGTATATTCTTATGGCGAATAGTAAAATTCCGTAATACTGAAACCGTTGTACTGAAGATGGATTGGACAGACCCAGTATATTACAAGCAGCAATATTTTTCCTGCGTTAACCTTCGAAGATAAAAATCTAATCTGTTCTGACTGATTTCTTAAGCCAATATAATTTATGACAAAATTATACTTATCCACTTATCTCTTTGCATTCCTTCGCAACCCTTTCTAGTCCACAATCTTAAATAAGCATCTTCCTCAAAACTTTAACCTCTGATAAGTGGTCCCTTATGGTTTTTTAGTATAGTTAGTAATACCGTCAATAATCATTATATTAGTTCAATATTTGATCC